CCCGAAGTAAATCGTTTTTGTTTGATAGCAACTACAGGGACGTTGTATAATAAGGTAATCTGCAGTTTCGGCGTGTTGATTTTTCCGAATTCGGCTCAAAAATCGAAATAGTAAGTAAATATTACCGGGTCTCATTTTCCAGTGAGTAGTGTTTATAACTTATTAAATATAAGAAGCCGATTAAACTAACAAAAATATTATTTACCACCTGTAACACTACATAATGTTGACTAAATAAATAAATATTAATTTAACATGTTTACTTTCATTTTAGGTGCCCAGCATCAAGTGAAAAATTTTAAAATATTTAGTGAGAAAACTTTTAGGTTTTCGCGATTGCAACACTTTAGGAAATTAAACAGTTTTTTCAGGATCTAAATCGGCCGCCCGTGATCATGAGACGTGTAAAAATTCCGAAACGTTGGTGTGTTTGAAAAAACAATATATCAACACGGTTGCCCCATAACAAAACCTAGTAAGTGCGTTACTACAAAATTTTACAGGTTAGGCCAAAAACACACAAATAAAGGTCGCCCTTAAACTTTAATGTAAAAACGGAATAATGTTAGGTAGGGTACCAATCAACGAATATATTGACGTCATAAAAATGATCACAACTTATATATTACATATTTATTACATATTTTATACCCTTACTAACTTTATTATTAGCAACCAGAATCAAAACACAACATAATCATACGCTAGGTACATATTTGGTTTAGATATTGCATTATAAAAATTGGAATAAAATTTGATTTTGTTTGACATACTAATGAAACAACTAATATTTTCAGTATCAGAAAAGTTCCACTATCCCAAGCCAATTCAAAAATTTATTACAGTAAGGTACTTAATCTACTTTAAAACCCAGGAAGTGTTAAATACTTGTTATGCTTTGAATTGGTTGGTCACGACTCAGAGTAGATGTGCCTTACTATGCTTTGGGAAGTACGAAAGTCGAATCGCCGGAAGGGAGCCTACTTCAGCATGTCACCACTGCGATAACTGCCTCGAAGAGACGGCCCAGCACACGCTGGACGAGTGTCCTGCACGAGCTGAGCAGCGCGGTGCCCTTGTCGCCGCCGTGGGGAGCGACCACGAAGCGACCTTTCTCTCCCGACCATAGTTCGTTCAATGGTTGAGAGCAAAAAGTCGTGAGATGCAGTCCTAGCATTCTGCAAGTAGGTCATGGTGCGAAAGAGGCGGCGGAAAAGGAAAGGTAAGATACAGCCCCTGACCCGATTCGCCGTCGGAGAGTGGGTCACAGAAGGAGAGCTATGGCTCTCCAGCTGCCCACACAGGTAACGGGCGGCGAAAGCCCCCGTGACAAGGGTCCATGACTTAGGGGAGTCTGTCACTCGTTACTGGTGGACGCGAGATGGCGGCGTACGTGTTCCGCGTCTGCCTCTCAAGAATGGTGATGGGAGAGACAAGAACTCTCCTAGAAAAGCGAGATGGGGTTCGGCGCCCAGTCGGGCCAATCACGGTCGGAGTCGCGGAAGAATGCGTAAGCGTCCTACAGTGGGTCCAAATAGCTAATTATTGGACATAGGTATAATTTGTGGAGCTAATTTTTTTTTATATGATAGATAATAACATTCCTAACAACTTCTATTCTTGTATAATTTCTTGAAAAGTTGATAGTTTCGGAGAAAAAATTTTTTTTTTTTGTATGGAGAAATATACTTTTTATTTTTTATCTCAAAATATACGACAAAGTGCGTGGGTTACTTACAGTATAGTTCCAATCATTTTCTATGTAGAAAAAAACAATCCGTGTACATGTTCTTGCGGCTGTGTAAGTAAAGGTGCGACAAAGTTGCTAACTCTTTTATGTACTTTTTTAACGACGACGAACGTGACAGTCGCGCGATCGCCGCGCGGCTTCAGCGCTGCTGCAGCGCGGCTAACGGCATCTAGCTTGAACGCGCCCTTACTATGGGAGTAGTATTCCGTTAAAAAATCATTTTCAAAAAATTTTTCGCTTGCTAGGTTTTGCTCTGGAACAGTCGAATATTCGCGATTTAAATCCGGAAAAAAGTTTCATTTCCAACATTGGGTTGCACGAAAGGTGCCTCCACACAATGACGTACATATCATATTCCTAGTACGTATGGCGCCTTAGACTATGAAAACTTTCCATCCTCTAAGTGTGGCGCACACTGGGCAATAATTAGCCAGTATGGCTAACATATCTCATGTAGTTCAGCATGGCTGCTACATATGGCGCGATCAGCGTGGCAAGTTCTGGGCTGCGATAATATAGTGTATACAACCATCGATACGATGATTTCGCACACGAAACCAAATACTGTCGTAACTAAAGTCGGATTGAGAGGATAGAATTTGAAAATTAAAAAATAAACTAAATGAAACCAATATAAGTATTCTCGTTTATACGCGGATAATTAAGTATTGTGTAAAATTATCACATTATTCGCAATAAGATCCAATAAGTTTTTATCTTAATTCCGCAATTTTGAGATAAGACGTATTTGCTTCATGTGCGATTTAGTGAAAATTAATCGTATTTCAAAAGCGTGCTCCTTTGATTTAAAACAGATACGTCTAAAAAAACTGGTGTTTAAAATCATGAAAATAAGGTTCTGATTATTACCAGATTTCCAGATATTTTTGAGCATATATATATAATAATACCAATTAAAAGGTGTGGCATTATACATTATTATTATCCACATTTATACATTATATATTATTACGATATAATGAGATGCGACAATAAAGTAGCGTGTATTAAGTAGATATTTATTTATTTAATACTCAACAATTTACATCGAAATCAAATTAAAACAATATCAAAGAACCACAATTTATAAAATAGTGTTTACTTATTCGAGGAATCACTGCACTCATATTTGTGTTCGGTTTAGGCCACATTCTTAGCAGTATACAAAAATGTAAAGGTCAGTCAACCGCACATCAAGCTATACAAGCTACACTTTTGTTCGAATATTGCCTCTAGAGTAATGGAACAATATCCGTCAATGTGTAACTTGATGTGCAGCCGTCTGTACATAGAAACAATCTCACCTCCTACGCATTTTTGTGACGACGGTACTTTATAAAATTAACGTAATAATTTTCTTGAATCACGCGGTGAAGTTGGCCAACTTCAATTTCATAATGGCAAGAAACGGCGTTGAATTTGCTAAATTGATTAATATTACGAATAGTATTTCACTACGACTGATTTTAAATATTTCAATATTTCCTTTATCAGAAAGATACATCAGTAATTTTTAAAACGATGTCAGAAAACATTGCTAGTTCGTGGTAGTACAGATATAAATATGATTAGTTTAGGTCATTTGGCGATTGTTATGGAATTAATTCACGCCGTTGCTCGTCTTGAGAGAAACGCAAGTTAGAAAAGATGATGTCTTACCACCGTAATTTATAAAAAATGTAAAGCATCTTACAAAAATGTAATTTTGGACAAAACAAAAGAGAGTTTTATCAAAATTGTATTGAAAACCGTATGTTACAAAACAAAAAAGCTTCGCAAACTCGTGGCAATTAAGGCTATTTGTAATAATCAACTTACCGCACTAGATGTTCAATGTACTATTACTTTCTAGTTTACAAAAATGTGAAATTATATATGATACTAAAAAATTTGCTCTAGACCGAACAAAAGAGCACGTCTCAACGCAACCTCAAAACATAGGTACATAAAAAATATCTCTTAATACCAACTCTCAAATTAAGTACCAAGACTGACATGGACTACGCTGCGAAAATTGAAAGATCTAACATATAATATTAATTTCCACTGCAAAATGGAAAAAATGAAAAAGTTCCCAAGTAAAGGTCGTAAAAAAGACAACAGTTATCTATACATCTACCATATAACGCTACAATAATCCTAATCTAAAAATACTAAGATTTATATTTCAAACATTCAATTTTGGTAAAGTTCGATCAAAATATAGAGCGACATAATTTGCACCTCAAGTGTATGTGTTTAGTACAGCATCTATGTAGTACTATCAACAAAATTGAAGCCCAGCCAATCCCAAAACAGTTGCGTTTGCAAGCAAAGATTGTAATTATGTATCTCGTCCCTTAGGGCGCCTTCAACTTATGACGCTTGTAGAAGCGCTGCAGTCACGCGTCAGTCGAGCGTTAGTTGCGTGACAGTCGCGCAGCTGCCGCGCTTCTCCATTGTGAAATTTTTTAGTTATGTTTTGTCTTTCGAGTCAGTTACGCAATCTATTCTGACTAAGCATTACTTTTACATACTTTTGTCAAATAATTTTTCATTAATATTAATAACAATAATAATTCACACACTCATAGCCCCGCACTAGTGAAGTGAATGTATCGCGGGTGCCATGGACACACACGTAGACAAGCACAAATTACACCCAAACTCATGAGAGAAATAAATGTAGGCCACAAAATTATTTCTCGCGGTCCAGGTATCGAACCCGGGACCTCTGCGTGGCAGATGACTGGGCACGGAGCCCATTTGTTTACTCTGTTGTGAAAATTAAACCCTTAAGCGCCAACCACAAAATAGCGGGTGGCCGCTACAGACCTTCGTTGCCTGCATGCAAAAATAACCCTGAATGTGGTAATGCGTCAACTTTGCTTATAGTACGTACAAGAGCCTATTGTCTACGTAACTAGCCTAATACGCCTTAGGCACATTCTCTGCAAAATCGCAATAATTTTAGCAATAATACAATTATATTTTATTATTTTGACTAAGTAGAGGTGTCAAAATGCGTGCTAATATTTTTAATGCTGCTGAGAAACAGCCCTTCTCCGTGCCAGCAGCAACGCGAGCTACCAAATCGTGTAAAGATTGATACTTGATGTACATTTTCTCATTGTTCTCAATAGAAAAAAAATCATTCATCAAAAATTTACAAATTCAAATCCACAGTATTTTATACACAGCATTGAAGGGTTATACAAGAACTACACCCCTGGACATATAATTCAAGCCACCTTGCAATTTTACTCTTAAAGGGTTAACAAAAAATATTGTTATCATCGAAGAAAAGTTTTCCCCGGTTTTACAAAGCCAAATTTTTAACAAGGACTTATGGAATGACGTTAATACTGAAAATATAAGGTAGCTCGAATTACGTGTTCGGGAGGATAATATGATGGTGTTTTTGACAGTACAATCGCTCTATTTTATTATCGATCTTATCATCCTTACAATAGTACAATAATTTTACGGAATGCGATTCGTTCTAAATTGTACGATAACGTGGGTAATTATCCATTGGAGAAGTATTTTAATCATAGCATTTGAATAATATAATTAAAATATGTCTATGACAAGCACAAAAGGACATATTTATGTAGATTTTGATCAAACAAATGCATAATTAACTAATTTTTAATTTATTATAAGTATATTCATTATTTAGCGTACTCACATAGTTGACATTTAAATGCAAGTCTTATATCTAATGATAAATTCAAAATAATCAGATCCCAAATTACAGAGATTTTCAAATGCCTAGTATATAGTTTACATACATAGTGGATTAATATAAATAATCTATAGCCGAGTATAAATAACAAGTACTCGTAGATCACACACAATAATACCATAAATTGACCAAGTAATTTACTATTGGCATTCTGGGGACCTAACAAGAATTTACAGTAACTATAGTCACTAGTGATCCCGTAAATATTTTGGATACAAAATGATACTTCTCCTTATGACTGCTAGGGGCGTTGTAAAATTTGCCATACAAATTTGTGAAGTAACATCGGTAATGACAACGGTCACTATAAAGTTAAAGTTTAATAATAAACTCTTTAAAAATTTTGAAGAATGTAATAAGAATTACAAATATAAAAGTTTATTTTATGTTTGGCATTCTTAACACTATGTTTATACTACAGCTTTGTCAGTTGTAATACAAGGCAGTCTGTTAATTAAATTTAATATTACTATTATCAAAGAAATGGTCTCTTTATGTAGGAGTTTTGTTCTTCATGCAAGATCATAAAAATGTTTTCAGAATTTCCTGTCAAAACACAAATATATGCGATCAGGCTGAAATTCTAACCCATCTTTTCTTGAACTTTCTAAAATAAAATGGAAGCATAAATACAAAACACTTTTCAGTATGTACGATGAAATCGTTACATAATGGAGTTTAATACTTATCATCATTAAAAGCACATAGAGAAACGATCACCTACATGACTAAGATAGAATAATAACATACATGCTATAGTTTGTGCCATTTATCATGTCAATAGCGGTCATTGACCTTGAGTCTCATCCCGAAGTCATAATTCGACAGCGACCGATCGTCGATCCCTATGCACTTGCGATCGGTCGAGTTTCAGGAATATTCATTTAAATTTCGTTGTTTTGTTAATTCGTTTTATTCATTTGTTTTATTAGTTTGCTTTGTTATACTTTGCCAGACGTCGTTATGTAACTGACGTTTGTACATCAAGGTTGACTTCTACCACGATACGCCAACGATAACACTATGGCATGTATCGTTTTCACAATAACGTATACTGTGGTAGGAAGGGGGAAATGATCGCTATTGACATGCTAAATGGCACTTAGTAAATGTACCTTTAAACACTGTCTATAAAATATCTAGTCTTAAAGAAACACGTTACGCAAAGCATTTTACACTACTGCTAGTTTGCAAATATGGCATTAAAATACAAATGGCAGCCCTTTAGCTGGTGAAGTTCCAAGAAATTATTTACAAAATGGAATTAAAATAATCATTAAACTTATACATAAACTATCACTCGCTTAACTTGCTCTTAGATAAAAAAAATAAAAATCAACATTAAAGATATCCAGGTGCAAATAAACAAAAATTAACACGAAATAATTAAATTCAGAAACACTGAAATGCTTTTAGTGCAATATTACAAGTATTATACAACAACAATTAATCTGTAATAAACATGATATAGAATTTTTCATTCCAAAATGTTATTTCTATACATTACTTTTGCTTTGGAAAAAATTATGGAACTTACGGCCAAACTTCGTCTCAATTATTCTTTACTATTAAAAAATTTAGGAGACATTTTAAAAGCCCTACACAATAATATTTAAAATCCAAACTAGAATAATAGCGCAAACCAGCCGACTCACAGTCAGGGAGTTATCATATTCAGAATTATCACTCGACCTATAGTGGTGTTTAGGCGGTGTTCCCAAAAATTAAGTTTTAATCATCGTCTATAGTAATAACGGGGCAAATGCTTGTCACGTCTACAGCGTCATCGTCCGATAAATTCACGACGTCGTCATCACTCTCCGGCCCATTGTCTTTGTTCCCATCAGATTTCTTAGCTTTGTTTATTTCTTCTTTCTTCTTACTATCATCATCCTTATTTTGATACATTGCAATTAGTTCTTCTTTCTTTTCGTAAAGAGACAGCACATCCGATATTATAAAAGGCTGGACGACCATGTTTTCAATGTCAGCAGAGTTCTGACTCTCATCATTATCAGCAAAATTGTTTTCTTCTTCATCTTCCTCGTCGTCAGTGTAACCATAAAACTTCTCATCATCTTTATCATCCTTAGGAATATAAGATTTAATAAGGGCTGGCAAATTTTCATCACTAGTAAACACTTTGGATGGATCAGAGTCCTCTTTGTTGCAGTCATGTTGAGAAAATACCTTTACAGACGTAAAGTATTTGGAACATAACTGGCATTGGTTTTGCAAATGACTGCGATAGTGATTGTGTAAATTCGGGAAATAGTCGCCGCAAACAACGCAACGTTCGTGCTTAACTCTAGCGCGATAGTGCATTTTTTTCTTCGATTTATGTGCAGTTTTCATGTGCTTTACAAAAGGTCCATAGCGTATAAACTTTTCACGACAAATTCTACACTTTATAGGTTTGTTGTTATACTTTCTGCTTCTGTGTGAAAATGCGTGAATGTTGAACGCATCCATTGTTTTAAATTTAAGTGGACAAAAGCGGCACGAAATCGCTCCTGATACACTGTGTAAGTTATCATGTAATTTTTTGGTGCTCTTCCTAGTTATCGGCTTGAAGCAAAATGTGCACTCTTCGTATTTAGGCCGGATATCATTAGCTTTTTCGGTCACTTCATCGTCGCTCTCAATCGCACAAAGATGATTATCGCAATCTATTCGTGAAAAGAAATATTCGCCACACTTCTTGCAACGATTCTCCTCGTGATACGCTAAATGCCGATGAAGATTATAGAACGTCTTCTTGCATAAATGACAAGTTTCCTCTATAGATTCTTTGGGCATAACTACCCAATCTTTGTCGTCTCCATGTACGTCTTTCATATGATCGATCATGTCTTTGAACAAGACAAAAGTTTCATCGCAATGTTCACATTTAACCGGGTCGTCAGAGTGAAGCCTGTAGAGATGGCTTGTTTTATGTTTGTTAAATAAAACTAAGGTGTTAAATTTTCTGTTGCAGTAAATACACCCAAAGTAGCCAATAGTACGGTGGTAAACTTTATGGCTTTCTAGGGCATGCTTGTTCTCAAAAACTTTGAAACAATAATCACACAAATGATCCTGTTTTCCTTCCTCTGCCTCTTTTGACACTTTAATGTTATGTTGTGTGAACAAATGGCAATCAAGTTTCACTTGGAGATGGAATGCTTTGTAACAAATGTTGCATTTGATGTTCTTAGTAAAGGGTTCCGTATTACCAATCAGTTTCTTCTTTTCACAGCTAAATGCCAAATGACCTTCTAAGAATTTCAGAGAGCTGAAGTAGTCAAAACAGTAATTGCATCGTAGTGAATTATGATAATCGAGATGTCGTTCAAAATTTCCTTTCGAGGCCAGCACTTTGAGGCACACAGAACATTGAAATTCTTTCAATGGCCCAAGCGGTTGTTCTGAAGGCCCGGCTATCCAAGTTTCATCAATATCGTGCACGTCACGAATATGGTGCTGAAGTAAGTAGCCTCGGATGAATTTCTCTTCGCAATAAGGACATTTCAGTGGGTTATCCAAGTATTTGACAGTCATATGTTTTTGGTGGACATGCACACGATGACTTTTTAGTGACATGGTTTTTATCCCGCAAAATTTGCATTTGAAGAATTGTGGCTTCCTTAGGTGAGCTTCCTCATGGTGCTGGAATCTCCGCTCGTCCAAGAACACTTTTGCACATAACTTGCAAGAGTAATAACGTTGCGGTGGGGCATCGGGATCTTCCTTAATCATTTTACTTTCAGGATGAGATCTCCTCAAATGGCGTATGAGTTTCACTAAGTCTGGATAAAATCTTGAACAAATAGGGCATTTCACCTTATTTTTTCTTAATTTCTCTATACGATTTTTATGGCTTTGGTGATCAAAATTGTGACCTTTAACATGCCTCCTAAAGTAATCTTCATCAATGTATCCTTTACCACACACAGTACATTTATAAGGTCCATTTTCATCCTCATAATGACCTCTTGTGTGGATTTCTAGCCTTCTCTTGTTAGTGAATTGGAGCTGGCAAATTGTGCACTCATGCCTCGAGCCATACAGGGAGGATTTAGAGGTGTGCCAGCGAACATGGCACTTAAGAGAATTTTCAGAATCACATAGTTTACCGCACTGTGGGCATTTATAGGTCCCATCATTGCTGACTGTATTGTTGGATTGAAGAGGTCGATCGCCGACAATAGCGTCTTGACCCTCCCCTCTCTTATAGTGTATAGCCATATGGGCGAGATACACCTTTCTGTACTGAAAGATCCTCTTGCATATGGAGCATTGGTAGTCTTTGTTCTTGAAGCGAGTTTGTTTATGGAAATTCATATGCGCCTGTGCAGCGCGAAGATGTTTGCTTCGGCGACCACAGATAGCGCAAGTTAGATGCACAGGGTCTAGATTCGTATCCGTGTAGTGCTCGCGCATGTGCAATTTGTAGTGGCGTTGGAACCGGAATTTCTGTAAACAAATGGCAACGCTTAGTAAATAAACATCAATACACAATTATGATATTGCACAGTATTATAGATGATAAATTTTCCTTTAATGATAGAATTAATTTTACCTCCTTACACACGAAGCACTCCGTGATTTTTTCTATGTTGTTCCCGACATTTGTATGCCAGTTGACGTGGCGCTTAAGCGATATGAGTGTTTTTAGTTTTTTTCCGCAGATGTGGCATGTAAATCCGGCTAGGTCGACAAGCGGGCCACCTTCTGTCAGCGGAACCTCACCAAAGCCGTTGTGACTCTGGATCGCGTCCAGGGGTTCCGCTTTCGTCACAACGACTTCACAAAAATCCGCCAGATCTGCTCCCTCGAACTGCTGAGGCTGCTGCTTTTGCGGCGGCTGTTGCTTTAGCCTGTGAATTAGCTTGATGTGGTTCGCAAGGCCACTACAACTCTTGAATTGTTCACTGCATTCCGCGCAAGTATACATGTTTCGCGGTTTGATGTTCATTGACAGATGTTTCTGGTTATGCTCGTTTATGTTTGACACTTTCATTTCTACATCGCATATCAGACAGCGAACCATGCAATCTTTTAGATTGATTTTTGCTCTTTTCGTACCGGAGCTCATATTATGTTTCGTGCGTTTATGATGAAGTAATAAGCGCTTGTAAGAAAACTGTTTTTCACAGATATCGCAAGTCAGGTCATCACCTTCTCCGGGACTGGAGTCAGATTCGGATTCTTTATACAAATTATTTTGTAGACTAGTAGTAGGTTTGTCGGGTGGTTCAGTTTTTACTTCAACATCTTCCACACTGTGCTTCATCATAAGATGCGTTTGCAGCGCTTTCTTGTACTTGAATGCTTTTTCGCAATGAGTGCATTTATGAGGTCCACTTGACACTACAGAACTTGAATAGTCGGAATGGTTTGATACTGTATCATCAATTGTGCTTGGTCTGAAATTAAAATGAAGGTTACTAATATCATTCACACACCACACACATGCCACAATTTTCATCTAAATAAGAACATACCCATAAAAACTTTAATAATTCTTTACCTGGAGATGTTATCAGCTGCATCATCATCAATATTGGACATATGAGCAGCCAAGTGAGTTACCAATAGATCTTGAGAGGCTAGTTTTTTACTACACATTCGACAATCGAATGTTTCTTTTGTCTCAGCAACAGTTGTAGTATCGCGGGGCCAAAAATGCATAGTTTTTATGTGGACAAAATAAGAACTCTTCTTGGACATGACTCTATCGCATATAGGACATTGAAGGGGTATGGTTTCATCTTTCTTCGGACAGGCTGCGAAATGCGCGCTATGGACATAATAATCGTCAAAAGTCATGCGGCAGTATAAGCATGGAAAACTTATCTTTCCATCAGATTTTTTTTCTAAGCTTGACCTTGCTTTCTTAAGAACTGCTGCATGAATTACTCTCATATGTTTCTCTAGATTTTCAACAGTTTTAAAGCGCGTAGTACACATTTCACATTCCAGTTTCTTGCTTTGTTCTAATGGCTTTGGAGGAAACACGGAATCAATAGGTTCTAACGAAATAAGCAACTCTTTTTGAGGTGAGACTTGAGCAGTTTTATTACAAGACTCTTGGTGTCGTTTTAACATTATCTTCAACTTGAAAGTTTTGGAGCATTTGTCGCAACTCAATTTATCTTCAGAGTCATTGGCATCTCCCACACTTTTCTTTGGGGTATCCACAACTGTATTTTCCGCTAAGTTTTTTTCTTTGGTATGCATTCTCAAATGGTTACTAAGGCTTATACCAGATTTAAACTCTTTACTGCAGTATTTGCATTTGTAACTGTGTATAAGGGGTTCATCAGAATCGGTTTCTGCAGAAAAATGAGACATGCTGTTGTCTTCATAATCAGAGTCTATGATGGATGTATTTGGAGACTGGTGATGAGGTTTCTTCTGTGACTTTCGTAATTCTTTTACACGTTTAGACATGGTAGGTTGATCGTCGTGAGATCGGCTGCTGACGGAGGCATCGTCGACACTTTCGTGGCTCCGTTTTCGTTCTCTGCTTGCGAGGATGACCTTCTCAGCTGAAGGTTTGGATTGATGAGAAAAATCGGTATGAGATGAAGAAAAGGCAGAGTCGCTGCTTTGTCTGTTAGGCGGAGGTGGAGTTACGCTGAAACCTAAAAACAATGACCCGTTACGAATTGACTCCTTTATAACTGTGTTTTTTACTTTGAATTAGATGTAGATACCTGGCGGGGGTATGTAGTTCCGCCGCAATTCAGCGTCAGATCGCTCGCACTGCTGTTTGAAAATATACGCACTGCTCAACTTCTGCACGCATTCCGAGCAGATTTTATCTGGAAGACCATCTCCATCATAGATCTATAAGAGGTTGACATTTCCAATTATTGCATTTTATCAGAAATTTGTATATTATGCTTAGTTACATGTACATCATACAATATGCACTCAGGTTAGGTTACTTGTATAGTACAATATATAGTACAATTACAATATTGAAAAATATAAAGCCATGATAATAATTTTATAATACAAATGTTTTTATTTTCGTAGACATTAATTTTTACAACTCGAATATGTCTCCATGTATTGAATAGATATTTTTGAAATGCAAATGAGTAGGTACTATTATTTTCTGTATTCTTTGTTAAATCATAATATTATAGATTGTGCTATAAGCCTTCTCCATCATTTTCCAACCAAAACAAACACAAGTATTACCATGAAAACAATTTAAAAAGACTGTAAGGAAAGATCAAGAAAACATGTTATTTAATAATGTATTTTTTATTGCATTTGCAATTTAAATAAATCATCAGCTTATTGCAAGAAATCATTAATTGCCATATAAATTATATAGCAATTAATGACTTCTTGTAATAAGCCGACGAAATAAAAACATCATGAAAAAGGTAAAACTATCACAACAAAATGGCCTAAATGTACAGACTCATAAAATACTGAATCTATATTGTAACCAAATTCAATATAGAATACAACAAATTAATGCTGCAACCAATGACGGCTAGAAAAGAACATTTTTTTGTCAATGATCATTATTTAAACTAGCTCTGCTCAGGCCTGCTCGCATAAATAGAATTTTATAGGTTCATAGGTAAATAGGGTTATGTAGAAGTAATAGTTGCCTGGTAAAAGTACCTATTCATACATATGATTTATGAATATAATAACTAAGTTTTTGATACCTATTTTTACTTCCTGCTAGATAGTACAAACAAAACTGTAAGATTTCATTTTATATTAATTTATTGCATATGTCATCAAGCATCAATTTCTGATTCTGGACTTGAACTAGAAACATTTGCAATCGGAGAGATTCAAATCAAATAATCTTTAGGGATGACATAATTTTATTAATATTCAATTACTGGTAATTTTTATGTTGATTTCAAAAAAGTGTTTATTTTTACATTAACTTAAAGGTTTAAATACTAGGTAGTCTGCTGGGGAACTCCATTTAAGCAAAATAATTGTTTCTGCTAGGAATGTAAGGGTCGTATTACAGAACTCTTCTCAATCATACTCAAGTCCTTGCTATTAGGGCCGTATTTCCAATGCTTGAAATCATACTCAAGTCTGCTCAAATCCTGACTTGAGCATTAAGTATACAGTTCTAGAATACGACCCTTAGACTATTTGTAATCACTTCTTAGTGGTAACTATATAAAGTCAGGTGAAAACCCTAAAAATCATATGTTTTTGTTTATTAACATTTGTTCCACGTCAAATTTGGCTAGAGCATAGGACATCTTCTCGATATGACACTCAATTATCAAAGTAAGGAGTTACTTACAGTAAATAAAGTAAATTGAGGAGTTTTTTGAGTCACTATTTTTATTGAAGACTACAGTCAAATAGAATAATCTGATAATTTAACAGTCATTTTGTTACCTGAACTTAAACAAGTGCTCTACACCATAATGCATAATCTATTTTGTTATTATGGAACAGTATAGCTAGTAGTACATCTTGCAAAGTTTTCTAACTAATTAATACATGCTGTGTTTTATTACATAATGATAGAAATATAATTTAAACAATTATTAACATCATATCCAATTGTAAATACCAGTCCTCAAAATAAAAATTTTATAGTGTTTTAAAAGTGATGTTTGCTCCATTGGAACAGCTGATGATCAGCTGATTAAATATCAGTGAAAACTGTATAGTATAGCTTAAAAACCCAATGAACTTCGAATCAACCTATCAAAGTATCGATTGTAACATGATAAGAATCATAGACGCAAATATTCCAAATGCCCTCAAAATCCAAGGAAAATATTCTACGAAAATAAAACCATACACACCTTAATCCGAGCACATTCCATCGCCATTTCGGAAAGCTGCAAAGCGTTGTCCATTGTGAAGATGGAGTAAAAGTCTCCAAGCTTCAGACAAAGCCTGCATTTTCCCAATTTGAGGGCCATATTGATTTGTCTTGAAAAACTTCTTCACGATAACATCATATCTACGAATAACAAAAACTTCTTATCATAAAAACTTACATTCAAATCGTAAAACATGTGTCCTTTTATAACTTTATGAGTAAAGCAACGAGATCATTGCTAAAATAGTGAAATATTAACCGATAATAGTACCTTGCTTGCCGGCATCCATGATGACAAGAGAAGACTCGTTTACACGACAAAAGTTGACATCAAGAGTCACATTGATTGCTTTAGTAACTTGCCATATCTAAACTAACCTTTCACTTTCACAACCACAAAATACTGTCACCCAACTGACCTGGCGTCTGTCAATGTCAAACAAACATTACAAAACAAAGCGAGCTTAAATCTTTCTAATTTGTGAAAGCGAGATGAAAATGAAGATCAATAATTCCTGTTAATAAAAAAAAAATTACAACGAATTGAGTAGATTTCGAGCGAGATTTTCTTTTAAAATGACATACACCGTAGCCGGCGCCAACGTATTTGGGCAATGGTTTACGGAAGAGAACTTATTTCCTTATTTTCACAAAGTGTCTTTAAGTGGAGATAACTTGAAATTGAACTTCTCTAGGATCAGATTAGTAGACGCTAATTGGGCCTACAATATATTCCAAATAGATAACGACTATTACGTGTCTGGTGCATGGCGTGGTCAGGAATATCAATTAATTAAAGTTGAATTCCCAGAAGAATGCAAGAATGTCAATGAAACTGATATTGTAGTAGCTGGAAATGACTACGAACTTATATTTGTTAGCAAAAAGATGCGAATACTTTGGGTAATGGAGTTCGACAAAGAAGAAATAAAGAAATTTAATTTTACAAGTGACATTCCACCTGAGCCAGAACCTGAAAATGTTGTGAAGAAGTTGCGAAAGGAAGATGTTATTGTGAAGACCGTCACTAATAACAATACTTATTTATTTTTATCTTCTGAAGGCAATGTTTATAGTGGTGTACCTCCTGTGCAGTTGGACACAAGACACTGTATGGGGAAAGTCTGTGACATTCAGAGTGGATATGAACATTGTGTTCTGCTTACTGACGAAGGCAGAGTGTATACTTGGGGCAATGGAAGGTAAAATGGTTTTCAATTATATTGAAAAGAAAACAAATCACCTATTAGTATAAAATAATAATAATGAAGTTCTGTCTGTCCTTAAAATGAGTTTTATAATGTCCTTCTAAATTGCCATTATTATTCACAGGAGGCTTCAGCTTGGGCATGGTGACATCAGCAATCTAGAATCTCCTGCACAACTAGAAGCACTTGCAGGTATAGGAATAATAAAAATCAGCGCAGGAGGATGGCATTCACTAGCTTTAAGTGAATTTGGTGACTTATATGCATGGGGCTGGAATGACACTGCACAGCTTGGTATAAAATCACAAAGCCCTAAAAGCTACTCAGTACCAACACTAGTTGATTTTTTTGATGAAAATGGGGAAGAAGTTAGTTTGAATGTTAAAGACATTGCATGTGGATCTAAGCATTCTGCAGTACTACTAGAAGATGGCACAATTTGGACAACTGGATTAAATAAATATGGTCAACTGGGTTTTCCTCCTGAAATGGAACCAGTAGTCAATTGTTTTAAAAAATCTTTTCAATGTTCTAAAAATATTAAACTCAAATGTGGACCTTGGTCTACCATTGTGATTAATAAATAAGTAATGCCATGCTTTTCATCTGAGTTTGAAAATCCTTCAGAACAAGTTTCACATCACTATTTTGTTTTATACAGGTGTATATTAAGTCGACTTCAAGCTAGGATGGGGATGTCAAAGAGGTTATGACCCACAAAAAAGCTCATGGTACTATGGTAATATTCCCAAGTTATTTTAAAAATATCAAGAAATATGAAAAACAAAACCAATATTTTTTTTGTTACGTGAATGGGTGTGTTAAAAAATTGACAATGTATGACACCGCATCTGCACTTAATTGTAAAAACTTGTCTCATCTAATTAGTTAAAAATAATTCGTACCTATCTACTCATGAACACGACTAGCTCCCAATCGCAACAAACCGGTCCGACCATCTTAGACACCGAAATCACGAATAATCAGGTTTTTCACACTACCAAATATCTCGTTTATTGCTGTAATGTTGATGCTGTTAGATGAAATTTTGTATAAAACCATAACTAAAGTAGACAGGTACGTATTTTTTAGTAATTAGATGAATAAGTAGACAAGTTTTACAATTAAATGCAGATGCGGTATCACACATTTTCAATTTTTTTAACACGCAAATTTCTAAAATACCATTCAAATTTTTAAAAATTGGTTTCTTTTTCATACTTCTTAAAATATTATACATTATAGATATTTTGAAAATAACTTTTAGTGAGGAATTTAATTTAATACTTAGCTCATTAAAAAGCACGTCGATTTAAGATAATAAAAAGAATGATAGGATAAGACAAAATTATGTTTGAGTACAGTCGCGTCTAAAGGTGTTAAAACGTAATAATCGCAATGTGTATGAAATCTTTAATTAAAAAGAAATCGTTAGGAATATTACCATAGTAAAGTCAAGAGCTCATCAAGCTTGACACTTTGTACTGTTCTTATATTTTATTCTTATGTATTATTCTTATAGAGTTGGATTTAAGTCTTGTAGTGTCAAGCTTGACGTGCTCTTGACCCTGCACCATAAGCTTTTTTACGCCTAGACGTGCCGTCCTGGTTTGACGTCGACTTAATAGACACCCTGTACAGGCAACTATTAAGTAAAATAATGAAATTTTTGGCAACATACATATGGCGCGGTCGAACTGAAAAGCTTTCTATTGTGTGCATGCCTCTGGATGCATTTCTTCTTTTTCAAAAGCACGAGATGTGATAGTTGCAAGTGAAGCAATAGGTCTTTAGTGGTAACCTAACACAAACACCTTTCTTTCTTCCAATTTTCATTATTCTGACTTATTTTCATTAGTGTGATGACAGTTTTGGTATTTTGTAACCAGAAATGTCTTAGAGCCGGTGTATCGTTTGTCTGAAAAACTATTATTAAAATAATGATTACACATGTAAGTATGTTTTGGCAGAAGTTTGTTTGGTTTAATCATATTCGTTATGCTGTCTGATTTCCATATAATTTAGATTGCTGAAAATTCGTTACGACAAAATTATTATTTGGTTTTTTCAAAGACTTTTTAGTCGTAGCGTCATCTATGAGAAATCTATGAAAGATTTATCACCCAGTTAGTGCTTTTACAGTTACCAGTCCTGGCGAGAGATGTCGTTATTCGCTGTATTCTAAATTATTTTGAATTGATATTCAATTATTTTTTTGTGAAATTACTACACTAGTTTGTTATAATTATTAATACAAAGATTTTACCCTCTGGATAAAAAATTCATTTCGACGGCGTGAAACAAGATTAAGTTGTTTATCTCAATATGTAAACTTGTTTGTCCCGTGTCCCGTCACTTGATATAAAAAAAAATTAAATCAAATTAAAGGCACATGGGACTTGTCAACTTGTCTCAGGCTGACGGGCGCAATGGCAGTGCCCCTAAGATCTTTGCGTTTTAAAGCTCTCAGTGGCACTCTAACTGTTATGGATAGGCGTGTCGCTTGCCACCAGGCTTGCACGACTTGTCTGTCTCGTCACTTGGTATTATAAATAAAATACATGCATTAACATTAAAAGAGGAAATTAACACTGAATATACAACCAATTTAGAAAAGTTTACTTTTAAGTTGGTCTTACCGGGAATCAAACCCGGTACCTTTGTACCAAACGCCCGTAGGCCGTCCCACTGAGTCAAAGTCAAAGTCAAAGATTATTTATTCCATAGGTAAAATAAATTTACACTTGAAAACGTCACATTTAAGCTACTGCTCGTTCACTACGCTGACCTCCCTGAGAAGAACGAGCAAGAAACTCTAGGGATTGCTCTTTTAAAATAAACTTAAATGCTATGGAATACACTTTGAATCAAATTTGTGTGGATTCTGGAGCCATGTCGTCTTTCCATACATCTTTATCTAACACGTAGTCTTCAATTTTGTAATATGATTTTTCGATCAAAATATTTTTAATGTGGTTTTTAAACTTAGGAAATGATAAACTTAATATATGCTCCGGAATGTTATTGTAAAAACGTATACAGTTCCCCATAAAAGAGCTGTTTACCTTTGTTAAACGAAATCGTGGTACCATGAGTTTGGACATAGCTCTAAGGTTAATATTATGGATATCTTCTTTCTTATTGAAATTATGTATATTTTTACGGGCATATAAAATATTTGAGTAAATGTACTGTGATGCCACAGTCATGATACCAGTCTCCTTAAACTTTTCTCTGATAGATACCCGAGAGCCTAGACGGTACACAGAACGAATCGCTCGTTTTTGCAATACAAATATGGTTTGAATATCTGCCGCTTTACCCCACATGAGAATCCCGTAGGACATTATACTATGGAAGTAACTAAAGTAAACTAGTCTAGCAGTACTAACATCGGTAAGCTCACGTATTCTGCGGACTGCGTATGCAGCGGAGCTTAATCTGCTGGCCAGGGACGATATATGTGGAAACCACTGAAGTTTACTATCTAAGGTCACTCCCAAGAAGACTGCTTTATTAACAAGGTCTAACTTTTCTCCGTTTATTTCTATGCTTGGACTAGTCGATTTTACGTTAGGTAATTCAAATTTAACACATTTTGTCTTCTTGGCATTAAGCAATAAATTGTTAGCTTTAAACCAATAAACTACCTTAGAGAGGGTATCATTAATACGATCATAGTTAATGTCATGTCTGTCTGTTTTAAAAATCAAGGATGTGTCATCAGCAAACAACACTATTTAATTTAATTTAATTTATTTATTTGCATATACACATATATTTCGCAATGGTCTTTAACAAAGAATGGCAGATCATTAATATAAATCAGAAATAAGAAAGGTCCAAGTATTGAGCCCTGCGGAACACCCATTTTTACTGGAGAACCCAAAGAAGTCACTCCATTTATGTCTACTTTCTGAATTCTACCGTTGAGATATGACGAGACAAGTTTCGACGCCTTGCCATTTACACCGTAATGTTTAGCTTCCTACTAAGAGTATTATGATCAACGCAATCAAATGCCTTTGAGAGGTCACAGAAAACACCAATAGCGTTCTGGGACCTTTCCCAAGCATCAAAGATGTGTTTTAGTAACGCTACCCCCGCATCGCTAGTCGACCTACCACTAGTAAACCCGTATTGTTCACTATGAAAAATATGATTCCTACCGAAACAGGACAGTAATTGAGTTAGCATAACCTTTTCGAATATTTTACTTAAAGGTGGTAAAATTGAAATGGGCCTATAGTTGCTAGGATCAACTTTCCTACCGCTTTTGAATAAGGGAATAACCTTGCTGTATTTCATTAAATCGGGAAAAACACCTTCGTCAACGCACCTATTGAAAGCTACAGCTAACTGTGGGGAAATGAGATTAATAACTGAGTTTTGACAACTGAGTTTTAACAACTTTAGTTGATATGCCCCAGAGATCTTCAGTTTTTTTAACATGTATTGACTTAAAAGCTTTTATGATGTCTTGTGGATTAACATGACGAAAATTAAATAAACTGCCACAAACGTTAACATTTTCCTTTAGGAGATCAATAGCAAGTGAAGGGGAGGAATTTAATGATTTTGTAGTGTTCACAGCAATTTCCGAAAAGAACGATTCAAAAGCTTGGGCTACTTTATCTTTAGATTTTATAAGTTTGCTGTCTAATTCTAAAACTATATCTCTATCGTGTAGTTTAACCCTGCCTGACTCTTTATTTATTATGCTCCAAGTAGTTTTAGATTTATTTATCGATTGTTTAATTTTGTCGCTGTGAAACTTAACCTTAGCAGCTACACAAACTTTTTTAAATATTTTCGAATAAATTCTAACATATTCTATGAAATTGGAATTATTATTATAAGTTTTCATAGCATATAGCTCATACAAACGAGACCTGCTCTTATGAATACCTACTGTTGCCCAGTCGTTGAATTTAGTCTCTCTATGGAAAGTTAATGTTTTCGATTTAAATATATTGTCAAATTCATTTTTAATTAAACCAAATATCGTGTTATATGTATAAAGTATTTGGATCCTCCGGTATATGGGATAGGGAATTTAAACTATTGCCGATATTATTTTGAAATCTAAGGTTGTTAAACACGTTACCTACCTATATACATACATACTTAGAATAATAACGCATAGAAACCTAGCCCGCACACGCTAAGTGAGGCAAGTTAGAGGGTTCCAAACGCGTCCCAGGAGCGCGCGGGCTGTTAGTGCTCAAGGTCATATTGCACCGCGAACAGCTCCAAAATTTTTTGCTAAAAATGACGAAATGTGCGGTAAATGAGTGTAAAAATACAACAGACAAACATAAAATAGACACTAACATCGCATTCCACAAGTAAGTAATGCGTTTCAACTCATATTTTTATGTAAATATTCACTAAAACAGAAAAATAATTTCGCGGCAACAAGATACGAAAGTGTTGCAAAGTAACGAATTTTTTTTCTCCCCATTTTGCTATTCTGTATCAAAATAATTATATTACGTAAATTTTAGTGGTGCCTGTAATTTAGATTTATTTGCGCATCTTGAACTAATATTTACTTTAATAAACATTAAATGTTTTCGTTAACTCCTTTAAGTGATTGGGACACTTAATTATTTTATAATACTTTTAACGGCTCTGCGTTCATGCTTTATTGAATAATTATTTATTTTAATTTTATTTGAATTGGAGCACATATTGCA